TATGAGAAGAAGTCGCAGCAGGCTAAGAAGCGGAGTCTCAAGGATATCCTGCTCTTCAGGAAGTCGGCGATGGAGCAGGGACTAGCCAGTGCGGAGCAGGGCTCGAGCTGAGGCACCCGAACGATAATGTTTGTAACATAATGCGGGAAACAGGATAAAGGATACCCCAAGGAAACCAAGGTTGGGGTCAGGAGAGGCGGATAAAGCTGAGCGTATCATTTTGCTGGTTGTAGCGTTTTGTCGATAATTTCTTTCCATGTTCTCTTAGCCAAAAGGCTTTCAAGGTGTTATCGTGAAACCCTGCAGGTTGGCAGCTGCGTGCTGTCGGTCTTCAATTCGGTTGCGCAACGTTTAAGTCGGCCATGGTCGAGAAAAGTGTGGAGCCGCTGAGATGTTAAATTTGGTGAGTTGAGAATCGACAAACCGAGTCTCCTCAGGCGTGGTCCACCACTGAAAAGTGGGTCCAACCAGTGCAGCTGGAGGGATCGCTTGCCGGCCCAAGCTCCGAAGGTGGGCTGATTTTAACATTTTTGGCGACTTCGAGATTTCCGCGACTTCGGCTTGCCGTCACCAACATCGCAGTTGTCTGCAGAACAGACAAGAATGGCCGCTCTGCAACTGGGGCTGCGCAGGGCAGCTGCGCAGCTATCCAGACCCTCGTTTATTTGCGGGAAGTGCCTTCGACAGCAAGCATACGTGGCCCACTGGTCGACGCCCATCCAAACGCTGAAACTTTCGACCAGCATCCGAAGAAGCTACTCTTCGCCATCTCAAGCTTCCCCCATCGCTTCTCTTGCCGAAACAGTCCGGATAAACTCGAATTCGAGCCCCGAAAATACGAGAGGAACAACAGCAGAGGGTGGCGCAAATCAGTCTTCTTTCCCCGAGGCCAATCCCAAGTCGGTGGGATACTGGCTCATTGGCAGCGCCGTCAGTGTTTTCGGCATTGTGGTATTCGGGGGTTTAACGCGACTAACAGAATCTGGGTACCGTCTCTGCGAGCCCTGGGCATGGCACCGAGCCCTGTAGCTAACCGCGACCTACAGTCTCAGCATCACGGAATGGAGACCTGTCACAGGCTCCCTCCCTCCGCTCTCGCAAGCCGACTGGGAATCCGAATTCGAAAAGTACCGCGCCTCGCCCGAATACAAGCTGATTAACCCGCATATGGACTTGCAGGAATTCAAGAAGATCTACTTCATGGAGTGGACCCATCGTCTATGGGGCCGCTTCATTGGCCTTTCCTTCGTCCTTCCGACGATCTACTTGGTGGCACGCCGTCGGGTGACCCCCCGTATGGCCGGTACGCTGGTTGGAATATCAACCCTCATCGGATTCCAGGGATTCATTGGGTGGTGGATGGTGAAGTCAGGCCTGAAAGATGACCTGTTCGCTCCCGGTTCTCACCCTCGAGTCAGCCAATATCGTCTCGCGGCACATCTGGCGACGGCCTTTGTCTGCTACTCTTGGATGCTCTTGGCCGGTCTCAACGTTTTGCGCACCAACCGGGCGCTCCAGGATCCCGCGGCCGCATTGGCGACGTTCACGAAACTGCAGTCGCCCGCGCTCAAGGTGCTTCGTGGTTCGGTAGCGGCCCTGACGGTGTTGATCTTCACAACAGTCCTTTCCGGTGCTCTGGTTGCGGGTCTCGATGCAGGCCTAATTTATAACGAGTTTCCGAAGATGGGCGTTGGATATAAGCCGCCGAATTCCGAGCTGATGGACAAGTTTTACTGCCGAAAAGAGGATGGCTCGGATCTGTGGTGGCGCAACATGCTGGAGAACCCGTCGCTCGTCCAACTGGACCACCGTATTCTGGCCATGACTACCTTCACCGCTGTTATGGCACTCTTCGCATACAGCCGAACCGGTCGCGTGAAGAATGCGATGACCAAGGATGTACGAAAGGGTGTCACGGGCTTGGTCCACCTCGTGTCTTTGCAGCTAGCCCTCGGCATCAGCACCCTTATCTACATGGTTCCCATCCCCTTGGCGGCAGCACACCAAGCCGGAGCCCTGGCCCTTCTGACCGGAGCCTTGGTAGCAGGCCAGCGACTACGGATTCCCAAACGCACCTTGGCCCTCGTGCAGAAGCAGCTTCGTATGCGGGCCTCTTCAGCACGTTAACAGGATGGATACCACGGTTCGCGGATCTTCGCGGAAACTGTAAGAATATAGGGTGTTTCTAATACCCAGCCGTTCGGTGTACGATATCAGCTGCCGGCGCACTTGTACATAACAATGTAGACCTCTCCCAGACGCTATCATCTCAAGAGAACTGAAGCACTCTGCTCGTTTCCGCAACGGGGCGGGGAGTGTAACCACCTGCCAAATCAGACGAAACGTAGTACCTATTTCCGTCAACTATCCAGATGATCTAAACGACCAGCGAGGAGTGCGTGGGCGGTGTCGGAGAAAGCTTAAAATCGTTGTTGAAGCTGTCGTGTAACGGTTCACGGGTACGACATCCGCAATACCTTACGCCATGACCCAGCCGCCTCAGGTCGACCCCCACAGTAAGCAGAGCTGGACATTTCCTGATCAAAATGGTAGACACAGGTGGTGAGAGGAGGGGGGGGGAGACATGTCTTTCCGAGGAAGTGAAATTACTAAATGGCAATTGATTTGCTTGGTTATCGCAGCGTCACCGATAGCCGTCGAATCGCAGCGGCGTTTCGCAGCGGCACACCGCTTTGCATCAGGCACTGTGCACGCACCACGGCTCGCTTGTTACAGCCCCGGCCCGTCACCGCTGCTGTCAGCGCAAGTGCATTTCTCCAACTCAACACCATCAGGTCGAGGAGCTGTAGTGCCACCACATGCAAGAAGGGTTCTTGCTCCCTTGCTCGTCGCAAACCCGAATACACACCAAGACACTTTCGATATCGTCGACGGTGGCCCTTGTCTGCCACTCCCCTCAATCCTCGGGAGAGGCGACAGTCCATGTGCACACTCGGCGTCCTTGAGGCGGTACGTTTGTTTTGTCTTTTCCATTTCAGCTCTCCCAGCCCTCCCCCCCTCGTCTGCACACCCGCGCCATCTACATGCAAGTTGCTGTACTAGCCTATGATCCCGCGCGACCAGAAGGTTCTTGGCATGCTACTGGATGACTGGTAGGCAATGTCTCGAACTAGTCTGGCCTCGCGTGCGTCTCTACAGAACACAGCATTGACAATCCCGAGACACATGGTCCGCTGCATTTGGGTCCTTCCACGTTGTTTGCGGCCAGGTCGTCGCCTGATGAGTGTCGGGACTACTCTAGACGTGCCTCGGTCCACAAAATGATTGTGAGTTGCCGCAGTTCAGGATCGGAATCTTGGGGCGACATCGGCCCAGCACAAAGACACAGTCGGGTGGCTACGTACCAAATCACACGAGACTCACAATTCCGGACGCCGACATTTTGCAGACTCGAACATCTGATAACAAGAGATCCGAGTGGATGCCAGGGGCCCAAATTACTCAACATCCCACCTAGAAGTATGCGGCTTGCGTTCTCGCTGCTGGGCCAGTCCACAGGCCAAGGCGGGGGACGGGAAGCCGGATGCCAATGCACCACTTCCCCGATGTGCTGCGGTAAATGCCATACCAGCCCTGCTTGGATTTTGGGTAACTGATTCGTAGGTGGGGAAGGTCTGTCTTGCTGGTGGTGGCCAGAAGGTGGGGGATAGGAGGGTACGCATATGTTTGCCCTGAGCGAGTGCTTGAGACTTCCCTGGCCGTAGATTTATGTTCCTCTTGCCACCCTCGCTGTCTCGATTGTCGTCCTTCTTACCTGGTCGTTTACTCACATAACTGCCTCGATGCGCAGTGAACGATGCCAACAACTTGACCACGGGCTTGCACCGATGAACCCCTGCTGTTACTAGACAGCCCGTTCTCGTGTGGTTATCAACAATATTCGACGTTATATTCTTCCGTCCATACGCTGTTTCTAGACACATTCGGTGCACCACCCACGGCGGTTGCTCCCCGCGGAGACTCTCGGGCTCGGCTCTGGTCAGCTTCGACGCCTCTATTGGGGGTACCTGAACCTTGACGACATTGAAACTCGTTTCAAGCGCGTTTTCGCAGACGGCACCGAAGTCTCTCGAGTCATGTGTGTCCAATACGACTACGTTTTCAGTTGCGGGCACCGGAGCTTCGCAAGGTTCGACAACTGCCCCAACCTGGGGAGGACGTGCTACGGTGCCAGCGGGACGCATGGTGATCTGCCAGTGCACTCGGTCTGCCAGGAATGCCGACTTAGGGCGGCGGATCCGAAGCGCTACAGTCCTGACAACGATCCGTACCGAAAGAGGACTCAGACGCCGAAGGCATGAAGGCAGACCGTTGGGGACAGGAAGGGGCCATGCCGGGCGAAGCTTCCCGTGGCTCAGCTACATCTATACACGGAAGCTAGATGCAGATGGTCGCATGAGCTGATGGGCATCGAGGAGCGTTGTGATGCCGATACCCTTCTAGGCTTGGTCATGTATGTTGTCATTTATTTCTATTTGGACTGTTCGAGCGGGTCGTCGTCGCTGTTTGGTCTTTACCTTTATGCCGTTATATAGTATCGTGGATCATCTGAATACATACTGATTACCTTGCCGCGCAGCTTTCAGGTCCCATCCGTGTTGCCGAGGTGAATGATCTGGAACTCCTTCCAGTCCTGTTGAAACTGGCCTCTGTTGGATATGAGACGAATCTAGGTCGATGCGATCTATAATACGTTAATACGCTGCTGAAATCTACGTCAAATATATTTGACATGCGCTGAACGGCAATAAGCAATGCATCCCAACACTTCTACACAGTTTCTCTCGCTTTTCCCCTTTTTCTCATGAAGACTTTTCGAATTTTCCACAACGACGGGACGCTTGTGGATGCCGCTCCTTATTCCAACATTGGTTGTGGACCCGACGGTTCTTTACCACACTCGACCCCGGCAGTCCACCCGTTCATCAGCAAAACTTACTCACCACTCGAACAATAATAAGTCAACAAAACCAACAGCTGGCTTCGTGGTTTAGGGGTATAATTCTCGCTTAGGGCTCACCCGAAGCGTTGTCTGCGAGAGGTCCCGGGTTCGAATCCCGGCGAAGCCCGGTGTGTGGGATATGTAAATATCTCAGTTGTTTCTTTTTTCATTGTTTTGCCCCGACATAAGTCGGGTTGTCGGGGTTGAAATGGGGGGATGTGTGTATAGTTCCTGGCTAGTGCGTTAATAACTTCATGTGGGTAGAGGTTACATGGTGGTTGAATACATATATACAAACTGGGTTCCCTCTGGAGAGAATTTGGGCTTGCGAGACTTTTATGAAGGAGGTTGTTGTAGAGGTATACAAGGACGGTAGTATATTTCTACCCGTTGGATGTTGTTGGCTGGGAAGTGTACGGCTTCCCGCGTGACCTCACGCTTCACCTTTTTGGAAGCATAATCGTCTTCCTTTTTTCCTTTTTCGAATGGTATTCTTAGGGAGATATACGAGATTGTTGGTGACTGGAGTCAATGCTGTATCAACGGCTGTGTGGTTTGGTTAGAATTGTATGAACACTGGGTAACAAGATAGGCAAGCAATCTCTTACCATAGTCGTCTAAAATATTATCTGGCCGTCGGTAATGGGTGTCGGTCAACCCTCGAGGTTAAGCCACAGGTAGAAGGTTGAGTCCGGGACAGATTGGGATCGTGATCCATAACTGAGCCATACATGTTGCCGGGGCCTGTGGTTTCTTGAACAGTTGGGTGTGCCACAAGCTTATGTAGCCCTCTCTCTCCCTTGATGCTAAGGGAACGAAAAAAAGAATATTTGGGCGGGCTGGGATTCGAACCCAGGTCTTCCAATGAACGCTTGTAACATATAATTAGAAATCAAACGCTGAAATCCGCTTAGGAAAGAGAAACGCTCAGGGAATGCGCTGACCACTACGCTACCCGCCCTGTGGTTTTGTTAATAGCAGTTAAGTGTGCTACGAGATTATGTAGCCCATCCCTCGGGGCGTGGGGGGGAAGCACACAACGCTTAGTATTGCCAATTTATTAGTGAATCTGGTTTTAACAAGTCCGGACGACAGAGATGAGAAGTGGGTCGAAATATTCTTTACCCCTGATATGCTTGAGTCGATGGGGATATCAGGAAGCGACGCTTTATTCTCCCACACAATGCTCTATGTATACGATCCTGCTGATGATCAAGTGTGAATTTTCATGAGCTGTCAACAATCAATATCTAACCCATGACCGAGTACTCTTTTGTTGTTCTCATCCTTGTCTGGCGTGCTGTGATCAGATATAGGACGGAGACGTCGAGCCACATTGCCCAAAATGAGTTGTCGCGAGTCTCGAGAGGCCACATACTACCGTGAATGAATGTTTCTTTTTCTGCTTTTTGTTCAGTGTATCTACGTCCTGTGGATAGACATGGTGAATATCTGCCTCGAGCAACTTGATACAAGCCGAGGGTCGGTTGTCGCCGAAGCTCCCACACTGTGCTGCTCGGCGAGCTTGCCGCCGGATACACCGTGCAAATTCTCAGCTATAAATTCTCTCGCACTGTTTAAAATACCTTTCCTTCTTTCCTTGCAACAACAACAGAAAGCACCCAAAGACCAGAGAGGCAACCACCAAACTCTGGCCAAGATGTGCTTCTCCGTGCTATCCTCGGTAAGTCAAGACTCCTGCATTCCCTTCACTTATACGCTGCTTTGGTCTGCTGGTGTTATTGCGCACGGTCCAATTTTGAGCGATAAGCGATAAGTTCCCGTGGCGGGTGAGAGAGGCGGGCCATTGGCGCACGTCCCACATGCTCCTCAAACCACACTGAGTTGCTGCTGCCTATCATCTCAAGCGGCCAATTGAGAAAAAATCACACGAGCACCTTTCGCGCCTGCTTTCGAACTGACAATTTCTTCTCCATAGTGCTGCATCAAAAAGACTGGCGCAAGCGCGCCAGCGTCCGAGGAAGGATTGGCGGGATCGCCCGCTTTGGTGGCGACACCTCCGTCGCCCCGAACCCCCCCGACTGCAGCCGCCGTCGTCCCGTCGTCGTCGCCGCGCCCAATTCCGGTGCCAGCTCCTGCCCCGGCGACCGTCCCGGAAGTCCACCGGGGCAATCCCGAAGCCTCCAGCGCTCCTGGGCCACATCTCGCTGCTCTCGCAGCAATCGTCGGCTCCGGTTCCCGGTCCGACCAGAGCCAAGGCGAAGGTGCGGGGTCGACCGCTTCGGGAGGAGGAGGAGGGAGTGCGTCGTCGAGCTCCTCACCGGTGCCCGCATCCTCCGACTCGGGCGGCCCGGAGCTGTAAGCTGCTGTGAGCCCCGCCGACCAACCGACCGACGCAAGCGGCCCGCTCGTTTTTTTACTTGCCCCGCCACCTGCCAACTGCCACGCTTTTTGGTGCTTTCTCCAGAACCACCCGCGATAATTGAGACCCCGCCGCCACTACAATGCCTCCTCCCGTACCAAGCGGCATGCCGCCTCCCCCTCCTCTCCTCCTCACGAAACGAGTCACTGCATTCCTCCGAGCCAACCTATCCGACCTCATCCACGACGCCGTTCTCACCACGCCTGCGGGAAACCTCCTCGTCCAAGCGAGCCGCCTGCCAGCGAGTACCCTCCGCCGACAATGCGCCGTCGCCGCCTCCCTCTGGGCTTACCAGAGCTCGGCCAAGAATAATACCATTCCCTCATCTCCGAACGGCGGCGGTAGCCACGGAAGCAGCCCTGCGACCACCGAGACCTCGTCAACCGCCGATGGCCATCCCCGACCGGGCGCTGCGGTAACAGTCCAACTCGACAGTGGTGACATCTTTGTCATTCGCCAGCTGGCGTGCGGCATGCTCTTCATCTGTATGGGCAGCGACGGCCAACCAGCAGCGACTGGGAAGGGAAAGAGCAAGGCTTTGGGTCAAGGACAAGGAAACAGCATACCAGGTGCACCTGCATCACAGGCCGAAGACCAGGCGGCAGCAGCAGCCGCAGATGATAATCATAGTATTGGAGGAAGCAGCACCGCCGCGGCACCTGGTATCAGCGGCAACCCACCCAACAACAGCGCAGGACTAGGAGTATCGGCTATGAGTACTACTACGACGACGCAGGGCTCATCACAGGGAGGAACGACGAATCAGATAGGTTCATTTTCAGAGGCAGAAAGCATCCACAGTACCGGTGGCACGACATCGACAAGCCAAGGGAGCATAGCTGGGACAAGTTCCTCGATTAGGACTGCGACGCCGGGACACGTGGTTGCTATGCGAAGACAGGTCGAGGAGTTGGCACGCGCGCTTGACAAGGCACTCGGAGCGTTGCATGTGCCTGAGGTTGGGATTACGGGGCATAGTTCTGGCCACGGTTTGCTCGACAGACATTGAAGCATTGGGCGGGTTAATGCCTCGGTTTTACTTTACGATGGATGGTATTAGGGCAGTGAGGCAAGGCGCAACGGATGGATGGATGGGAGGATGATTCTCTTTTTCTTTGTAATTGTAGATTTTGAAGAGAAAAGCGTCGTGGCAGGCGCAGGCCTCGAGAAGGGCTTAGGGATGGCGAGCATCGGCGGCGTCGAAAATGGGGTTCATAGTCGGCCAAGTGGCATAATTCAGACGAGCATTGGGTCGTCATTGAGTTTACCTGACTGTCTTGCCAGGGTAGTTTGGCTGAGGACGTGTGAACTTTGATCCCGACGATGTCAACCACCCACCACCAGACTTATCCGCGGCGCCCGTAGGAAAATCCATCTCCCGCTCCAATCAGATTACCAATTGAATTGCTTACGATTTCAAGACTCGAAACGGCGTCTCCTCATCGAATTTCATGTTATCTCCGATGTTTCCAGCTGGAGGTGGGTAGTCGGCGATGGAGTCAACGACGTCATCTTTGCCTTCGCCGGTCAACGACACGCTTTTTAACTTTTCACACATCCAAACCTGGCCGCGGAACAGCGGGGAGGCAATTATGGACCTGCAGCGTCATAACCTTCTTTATTGTCCAGGCACATACATGGATATACATATATATATACCGAGAGGAGGAACTTCTTGTTCACAAATCGATCATCTGAAACATTGATACCAGACACATATCTCCCCAGCCTATTCATTCCACGGCTAATTCCATATCATTTTTGGTCTATCTCACCTATAATTTAGAGATATAAGTAAAAATGGGCTACCCAGACTCCTTCGAGGGCTTCACCGTCGACTCGGCCAAGACGTGGAACCAGTTCCACCGGTCTGAGCTGAAGCCCAAGCCGTTTGGTGATTCCGATATCGACGTCGAGATCGAGTGCTGCGGCGTCTGCGGCTCCGACGTGCACACCGTCACCGGCGGGTGGGGCGAGTTCGAGGGTCCCCTCTGCGTCGGTCATGAGATCGTGGGGCGGGCGGTGCGCGTCGGCAAGGACGTCGAGAAGATCCACGAGGGCGACCGCGTCGGCGTCGGTGCGCAGGTCTGGGCCTGTCTCGAGTGCGATGTGTGTAAGAGCGGGAATGAAAATTATTGTCCCAAGTGGGTTGGTATGTTATTTTTTGTCATAAATTTTCTTAGAGGGAGGGGGGGTGAAGCTGATGATGGAGATTAGACACATACAATGCCAAGTACCCCGACGGCAGCACGGCGCATGGCGGGTGGGCAAACTATGTCCGCGCCCACGAGTATTTCACCTTCAAGATCCCCGACGCGCTGCCCTCGCACGTCGCGGCGCCGCTGCTCTGCGCCGGCATCACGACGTACTCGCCGCTCGTCCGGGCCGGCGTCGGCCCGGGCAAGACGGTGGGCGTCATCGGCATCGGCGGGCTGGGCCATCTCGCGCTGCAGTGGAGCGCCGCGCTCGGGGCCGAGACGTACGCGCTGACGCACTCACCCGGCAAGAAGGAGGACGCGCTCAAGCTGGGCGCCAAGGATGTCATTGTCACGGCCGACGAGAATTTCGCCGAGGGGCACAAGTTCAAGTTCGACTTTATCCTCAGCTGCGCCGACGTTGCGCACGAGTTCGATCTTCAGCAGTACTTTTCGCTGCTCAAGGTCGGCGGACAGTTCCACATGGTCGGGCTGGGCGATCATCCGCTCAAGGAGATCCATCCAATGATGTTCACGACCAACGCCGTC